ATTGCTGGGCTTCGTGCACTTTTCAAGATGGATTGCGATCTCACAACGGCGGTGGAGATCGCTCTGCTGCAACACGGGGGAGAGGGGGCTCTGAGATGCCAACTCTGGCAAGCGGCGCCCCTCCAGAGTAGACCGGTTCTGCATGATTTCTTGATGTAGTTATCGTTCCTTATGTTAGACAAAATCCACTATGTTTTAGGCTGCCTGTCTGTAGCTGCTGTGGCTGGCTGCTTCCCTGATGTGCCTCCGCAAGGCCATGTTTGCTACCTGATGTTGCTCTGTTTCCAATATGAGTAGCCTACATCTCAGTGTGCTTAACTGGAACGTGCATGGGCTAAACTGCCCCCACAGAAGAACCACTGTCAATGAATCTATTGCTGCTTCCGCGTGCCATCTGGCTTGTCTCCAGGAATCCAAACTTGAAGTCGTTGATGCCTCCACTGCTGCTTTCCTTGGCGGATATAGGCTCAAGGGCTTCGCCCAGCGACCTACTGTAGGTACGCGGGGCGGGATTCTCCTACTGTGGAATGAAGATCATGTCCAAGTTCAGAATGTCCACTTTGGCGACTACACCCTATCGGCACAAATCACAATCATCAACACAGATACATCCTTCAAATTAACCACCGTCTATGGACCCACTAGAAACAATCTAAAAGACGCTTTTTTCCAAGAAATGAAGGATCAAAAGCCATTGCTAGGAGAAAGGTGGCTCGTCACGGGCGACTTTAACCAAATTTACCGGGCAAGAGATAAGAACCGCTCTAACGCAAATCGCAGCCGCATTACCCGCTTTCGGAACGCCCTCAATTTTTGTGAGCTAAAGGAAATACACATCCAAAATAGGAGGTTTACTTGGAGCAATGAACAGAGCAATCCGACTATGTCAAAGCTTGATGGGTTCTTTTGCAATGAGGACTGGGACATAACCTTTGACAAGCACATCTTGCACGCCTTATCATCATCGCTCTCTGACCATTGCCCTCTCCTTCTTGCCAATGATGATGGACCAAGGCGGCCGCGCACCTTCCACTTTGAAAACTTTTGGACCAACATGCCAGGCTTTCAACAAGTTGTCCAAGATGCTTGGAATGAGGCCTCCGCACACACTGAGCCATACCAGAGGCTGTTCCACAAGCTGAAAAATACCAGCCAGAAACTTCGCTATTGGAGCAAGAGCCTCTTCTCTAATACCAAGGTTCAATTGCATATGGCCCTGGAGATAATTCTTAGGCTTGATGAGGCTCAGGAGATGCGGGCTCTGAGCTTGGAGGAGACTGATCTTCGGAAAAGACTCAAGAAAAAAATGGTGGCCCTTGCAGTTATGGAGAGAGCTAGGAAGAGGCAAAGCTCGAGGATCACCAACATCAAAGAGGGAGATGCGAATACCCGATATTTCCACCTAAGAGTTAATGGGCGGAGAAGGAAAAATCTCATCCACCGCCTCAAGCAGGGCTCGGGTTGGGTGACGGATCATGACCACAAAAAGAATATTGTTCATTCCCACTTGTTTGGGATTTTGAAAAAGGGTGCCCCGCATTCTAAGACCATCAATTGGGCGACCATTCCTGCTGCTAGCCATGATCTATCCGCGCTTGGTGATGCCATTACAGAGGAGGAAGTTAGGGCTGCCGTATTTGCCATGCCTGGCGACAAAGCGCCCGGTCCAGATGGCTTCACTGGAAAATTCTTCAAGAGCTGCTGGGATATCATTAAAGATGACATCATGCTAGTGGTTAATAATTTCTCCAACCTCCATGCCAGAAACTTGCACTGGCTCAACTCGGCGAATATTGCTCTCATTCCCAAGAAGGATGGCGCAGAGGAGATCTCTGACTTCAGGCCCATTAGCCTCATTCATGCTGTGGCTAAGCTCATTGCCAAGATTCTTGCTACTAGATTGGCTCCCCACATGAATGATATTGTTTCAATTGCGCAAAGTGCTTTCATCAAAAAGAGGAGCATTCACGACAATTTCATGTATGTGCGGAATCTAGCCAGAAGATTTCACCGCACAAAAAAGCCTATGCTCCTCTTCAAGCTTGACATCAAGAAGGCATTTGACTCTGTTAGATAGGATTACCTGTTGGAGATGTTGAATCACCATGGCTTTCCTGCCCGCTTCCGGAACTGGATCTCGGCACTACTATCCTCGGCGTCCTCAAGAGTTTTGCTCAACGGTATTGTCGGCGACCCAATCAAGCATGGACAGGGACTTAGGCAGGGGGGACCCGCTATCACCATTGCTATTCGTGCTTGCCATCGACCCACTACACCATATCCTCAACAAAGCCACCACCCAAGGCAAGCTTCATCCCCTCCCTGGGAGGCACATGGGGATTCGTGCCTCTCTTTATGCCGATGATGCCGCAGTTTTCTGTGCCCCCATCAAGGAGGACGTACAATTCCTTGCAGCCATGCTTACTTCCTTCGGTGAATCCACCGGCCTCTCCACAAACTGCATAAAGAGTATTGTAGCCCCTATCAGATGTGCCAACGTGGACCTAGATGGCATTCTCCAATCCTTCTCGACATGCCGCTCCTCCTTCCCTATTCGCTACCTTGGCCTCCCACTCACAATCAAAAGATTAAGGAGGATACATCTCCAAATGCTGGAAGACAAGGTTGCAGGCAAATTGGCGCCTTGGAAAGGCAAGCATGTTGCTATCTCGGGTCGCATGACCTTGGTCAAGGCGGTGCTTACGGCGGTGGCCATTTACCACATTACACCGCTTGACCTTCTAGTGGAGGTTCTCAAGGCGATCGATAGGTTGCGGCGTGCCTACCTTTGGGCCGGAACTGACAAGGTAACTGGTGGAAAGTGCAAAGTAAACTGGGAGCTCGTGTGCAGGCCAAAAGAATTTGGAGGCCTTGGCATTTTGCACCTTGGCAAGTTTGCCGCTGCCCTCCGGTTGCGATGGCTTTGGCTCGACTGGGACGACCCACCACGTGCGTGGTGCGGTATGGGGACACCTTGCACGGTCAATGACCGTAACCTGTTTGCGGCTGCGACTAAGGTCACGATTGGCGATGGACAGAAGGCTTCCTTCTGGGAGTCACCTTGGCTGGAGGGTTTTAGGCCAAAAGACATTGCTCCAAAGATTTTTGAGATTTCACGCAAGAAGGGGGCATCTGTTGCCACGGCCTTGAGGGATGGGCACTGGATAAACCAAATTGACTACCATAACGGCCTCACGCTTGAGCACCTCCAACAATTCTTGGCATTATGGGAGAAGCTTCTGAATGTCATCATCCGGCCTGGTGTCAAGGATACCATCCTTTGGAAGTTAACCAACGATGGCCAGTACTCAGCTAGGTCTGCTTATATTGCGCAGTTTGCTGGCCTTACTCGCTCAAGCTTGCATGCCATTGTCTGGAAGGCTTGGGCACCCCCCAAGTGTAAATTTTTTGCCTGGCTTGTCACTCAAAACAGAATTTGGACTGCCGATAGGCTCCAACAGCGAGGATGGCCTAATTGCGACCGATGTCCACTCTGTAATCAGGTGCAAGCATCTACAGCTCACCTCCTCTTCAAGTGCAGGTTCTCTACTAGAGTTTGGAATGAGGTGTTTGCCTGGCTTGGTCTAAATATCCCCACGACTCCTTGGCTCCAGTTTAACACGGTCAAATCTTGGTGGAATGCGCTACTCACTAACAATAATCAACCCATGAAAGCTCTATCTTCCCTTCTCCTTCTTGTGGGATGGGAACTTTGGAAGGAAAGGAATGCGCGCGTCTTCAGAAACAAGGCGGCACCGCTGGCGATCATCATGCGATGCATCAAAGAAGAAGTGTCCATTTGGGCCATTGCGGGCGCCAAACATTTGCGTAATGTAATGCTGCGAGAGTAATTGTTTTGCCTTTTGACCGCTTGGCGGTCTACTTGTAACGAAACCTCTTCTTAATTAATGAAAATGGCAAATCTTTTGCCTTGTTTTAAAAAAAAAACGCCGCACTGGTAGAAATAAAACATTCACAGGGTACCCAGTGACTGAGCATCAATCAAGAGAAGAAACGGAGAGGAAAACGAAAATCCCGTCTCATGATTCAGGTGTTATCTTAGGCAGCTATAGAGAACAATATTGCCCAACTTAAATTTTTGATTATTGGTGTGTGAAAAACAACCCTTGATCATGAGTGCTACTTGAGAATATAGCATCATCCACCCCCTTTCCTCAACCATCCTGGGGTGCAGAGGCACAGCCAGAGAGGCGACAAGAACAAGGCTTGCTATTTTATCTTCTCTACCATTTGGTTAATTGTTTTTCTGATCACTTTGCCGACAAGTAGGACTTGTACATACAAAGAGATAGCAAACCTTACCGCATAACTCATAATATAATTGTCTTAAACGGATGATTAAACAAACTTCTCACATGCCAGGATGCTCATCCGTACTACTTCAAGAGAGAAAATAGTATTGTTCATTGTTGACAGCAGAATTATTCATTTCACCGTAGCGTAACAGTTGAAGCAAAGGATGCAGAGTACCATCCTTCTCATGGAGTAAACGGAATAAATGTGGTGTGTGGATAAGCATGCTGAGGAATTCTGTACCTTAATCCAACAACAGAGAACTGTCCAAGAATTAAGTGCTTCCAACAAAAAGGATCTTAATTACATGGTTATGTCAAGAAGAAAAGTCTCAGTAATGTTCATCTCAGTTTCAAATGTACATTGATCTCTTGCATCTCAGTTCATCTCAGTTTCAAATGTACAAGCTGCTCAACTTCTCCAGAGATTAACATTTACCAGCAGATGGAGAGAGTCGAAGGATTGACATTTACATGGTGGATCACTTGGAGCGGGTGATTTCAAGAGACCGTTTGAGGATCAGTTCAATGCTGCCTGATTTTGTCTCTGCGGACGGGTCACTACCTGAGACATACTACCTTCATGCTGAATTCTTTCCCGTCTGCAGGTAGTGAAGCAAGAAAGCAAAAAACTCATTCGGTCTGCAGGTACTGAAGGCAGAAGAAGAACACAGAAGTTGGCAGCAGTCAGAAGCAACAAACCAGCATCTCATGGTCACCCATTATTTCCTCGATCACCTCAGCAAGAACCTTCTCTCCGCTGTTGGGAACAAGTGCCGCGAAAGCGGCTTGTTCCAACCCTGAACAGTGAGCAATATAATTTATTTCGTCATAGAGTCTTTTGTTTGTGTGTGTGGAAAGACGCTGTTTTTTCTCTTACAGTTTCTGAATTTCCTTTGGCCTAGGACTAAGGAACTAGTACCTGTTTCTGGGTAGGCGTTGATGAACATCATCATCTCCTCACCAGTCAGACCAGAAAAGATGCATATTCTTTGCAGAGATTTCATAATCTGTGAACCAAACACACATGTTAACTAGCGATCGATGGTAAAATTTAAGGCTACGAAAGAAGTGATTGAAGGCATCTGGCAAGGCTGTTATTTCAGCATAAGAGTGTAAGTAAGCGCGGTAAAGACTGAAAATGTCATGTTTGTGAATGTTGTTACCTTGACAGCTTCTACATTAGGCTGCTCAGTGTGCATGGCATCCCACAAAGTTTGTTTCGTCATTTCTTCTGTACAACGAATCACCTGACCCATGAACAAGTTTGCTGAACTTTCAAGATCGTATGACAAACTTTCTACTGTATTTTCATCTCACACGTTTGTTTCTGAATAAGAGTAAGCTTTGGCTACTCTACATTTCAGTGTCTTTTTTCAAGACTCATTTCTTGATCTTATTACTTACTCCGTTAGAAGACGCCTACTTTTTAACAGTGGAGAAGACTCCTATTTCGTTCATTTTCTGTTCTTCTGCAGCTAAATGTACCAAACCTGATCTTTTCTCGGTAAACTTCTGTTACAGCAGGCGCGAAACATAATTACCTTGAGGAAATCACCGTCGAGCTCCTTCAGGAACTCCTGAATCTGCACTAGTTACGAAAATTCACAGGAATTACTTGTAAATTAGCGTTCTATCTGTCAATATCGGCATGCAAGCATCACGCAGGTTCTAAGAATCCTGTGAACCGAATACCTTGACGGCCTCGCTTTTATCGAATCCGATGAGCAATATTGCCTGAAATGGGGTCACAATTCAGTGACATCGATCTCAGCATTTCGAAGTAAACAAAATCAGTATATTTCACCGGCAACAGAAGCTATATGTATATGCAGCGGGGGCGTGGAATAGCACTCGCTTGTAACGCGCAACTGGTGGCGACTCACCGGCGGTCCGTACATCGGGTCCTCGGCGTTAAGCGGTACGAACTTGGAGTCCTCTGCTACAAGCTCCGCCGGGGATCCTAGGGCGACGGATGCGCGTCAGATGTGCGGAAGGAAACCGGGAATATTGTAGGTGCGTGGCGACGCGCGCGCACCTTCGGGAGGCAGCGACGATCGGAGCAGGGGCAGGCGCCATATTCTCCTCGGCGACGGCGACGGCTGCGCCGCGACGGATGCGGGGGTGCGGGGCGAGACGCGGCAGGAGGGTACGAAGGGTCTGGGCAGGATTAGGCGGTGGAGGACGGGGGCGGACGGCGAAGTCATCGGCGCCGGCGGCGAGGACGACGGCGACGTTATCCTTCTGTGTTGTGTGGTTTTGTACGTAGTCTATGTTCCGTCAGGGTTTCGTCTCAAGCCACGTCTAGCAAAACGGAAAAAACAACAGATTTGACTCCGTGCGCGAAAAAATATCACAAAATAAACCATCAACCTGAAAAATGCCAAGTCAATGTGTAACGTCTGATAGTTAGGCGCCACACTATACGGTGTAGGTGTCGCACTAGTGGTACCACACAATGTAGGTTGACTGGGCGTGTAGGGCATAAGAGCCAGCACTGCACAGTGTAATGTGGCGTCTAGTTGTCGTGCGCTACACAAAAAGGTCAACCGAGTAAAAAACTTTCGTCAACGGTTCATTTTATGATATTGTTACGTCCACATGTCAGAAAAATGATTTTTGCCTAGTAAAACTCAGACCGGCTGTGAATTTTTCTGCATACTGCGAGATGTTCAACCAAATAGATCTTTAAAACTCATCACCTAAATATTTACGACGGGTTTAGAGGATCTGACTTTTCTTTTTTTTACGAGAAAAACTCCAATCTATTTATTAACGGTCAAGATAGTACAAAGAGCATCAGAAATAAAAAAAATTCAGATTCATAGGCCACCTAGCAATGACTACAGGCACTGGAGCGAGCCAAAGCGCATCGGCGTGATCGCCCCTCCACATCAGAGTCGGGCAAATATTGTTGTAGTAGACAGTCGGAAAGTAATCGTACTAAAGCCCCATAGGACCAACGCATCAGAACAACAAACCGCCACCGATGAAGAGAAACATAGATCAGAAGTATCCATCATGTAGACACACGAACATAGAAGAACGAAGACTGGATCCACGTGGATCCACCTAAGACAAATCCCGACTGAATCCCATGAGATCTATGAGATCCGTCGGAGACAAACCTCCACACGCCCTCGACGATGCTAGAAATATCTTCAGAATGGGGGCTGGATGGGGAGAACCTTATTCCATCTGCAGAGAGGCGCCTCTGCCTCGCATCTCTAAATAGGACACAAACCCAAACAAAACTAAAAACATCAGAAAGCGAAGCCCTCCCACCAACAAAGACCGAGATCCACCACGCCTCCATGGTCCTAAGACCACAAGAGACAAGGTAGACCGGTGACGACGCCGATGGGAGGCAGGAGAAACCCTAGCATAGGGTGCAGGCTACGAGCGACAGGCTGCCGCCGTGCGTGGTGCGCCGTTCACGTGCTAGATGACTTGACCTTGTGGTAGCGTGAAAAAATTATAGGGCAAATATTAACAAGTGCCTGCATATAGATGCATGAAATTTATATATACGTAGTCTCATTAGTTCATCACATCCAAGATCATATGCAACATACGAAGTAGCAAGTTTAGTCGTACAAAATGTGGGAAGAAGAAAAAATATGATCGAGTGTATGAGGAAATCAAGCAACTCCTCATTGTTGAGAGGATCGTTGCCACCATAACAGGCTCTAGCACCTCCATCTTCAACAACTTGGATCGGAGAATGAGCACCACCATCATTATGAACATCGTTTGGCGAAGCACCACCACCACCTCGATCACCATTGCCAAAAGCTTAACCACCACCGCCCCCAATGGCGAATCCAACATCACCTCCAAACCCACTGAGGGAGTCCTGGTTTAAGGGGTCCTCAGGCGTTCGGCCTGGGTGACATGGGCTAGACTGCTGGGCCATGAAGACACAAGGTAGAAGACTTTCTTCCGTGTCCGGATGAGACTCTCCTTTGCGTGGAAGGCAAGCTAGACGACCGGATGTATTATTTTCTTTCTCTGTAACCGACTTTGTATAACCCTAGGCCCCTCCGGTGTTTGTATAAACCAGAGGGTTTAGTCCGTAGAGAACAATCACAATCATACAGGCTAGACTTCTAGGGTTTAGCCACAACGATTGTTGGGGAACGTAGCAGAAATTCAAAATTTTCTACACATCACCAAGATCAATCTATGGAGTCATCTAGCAACGAGGAAGGAGTGGATCTACATACCCTTGCAGATCGCGCGCGGAAGCGTTTAAGAGAACGGGGTTGATGGAGTCGTACTCGTTGTGATCCAAATCACCGATGATCCTAGCGCCGAACAGACGGCACCTCCGCGTTCAACACACGTACGGAGTAGCAACGTCTCCTCCTTGTTGATCCAGCAAGGGGGAAGGAGAGGTTGATGGAGATCCAGCAGCACGACGGCGTGGTGGTGGAAGTAGAGGGATTCCAACAGGGCTTCGCCAAGCGCTGCGGGAGGAGGGAGATGTGTCATGGAAGGAAGAGGGATGCGCCAGGGCTTAGGTGCGGCTGCCCTCCCTTTCCCCACTATATATAGGGCCAAGGGAGGGGGGCAGCCTTGGCCCTTCCTCCAAGGAAGGGTGCGGCCAGGGAGGAGTCCCTCCTCCCCAAGGCACCTAGGAGGTGCCTTCCCCTTTTAGGACTCTTCCTTTCCCTTATCTCTTGGCGCATGGGCCTCTTGGGGTTGGTGCCCTTGGCCCATATAGGCCAAGGCGCACACCCCTACAGCCCATGTGGCCCCCCGGGGCAGGTGGACCCCCTTGGTGGACCCCCAGACCCCTTTCGGCACTCCCGGTACAATACCGATAATGCGTGAAACTTTTCCGGCGACCAAAACAAGACTTCCCATATATAAATCTTTACCTCCGGACCATTCTGGAACTCCTCGTGACGTCCGGGATCTCATCCGGGACTCCGAACAACTTTCGGGTTACCGCATACTAATGTCTCTATAACCCTAGCGTCACCAAACCTTAAGTGTGTAGACCCTACGGGTTCGGGAGACATGCAGACATGACCGAGATGACTCTCCGGTCAATAACCAACAGCGGGATCTGGATACCCATGTTGGCTCCCACATGTTCCACGATGATCTCATCGGATGAACCACGATGTCAAGGACTTAATCAATCCCATATACAATTCCCTTTGTCTATCGGTACGACACTTGCCCGAGATTCGATCGTCGGTATCCCGATACCTTGTTCAATCTCGTTACTGGCAAGTCCCGATACCTTGTTCAATCTCGTTACCAGCAAGTCTCTTTACTCGTCCGTAACACATCATCCTGTGATAAACTCCTTGATCACATTGTGCACATTATGATGATGTCCTACCGAGTGGGCCCAGAGATACCTCTCCGTTTACACGGAGTGACAAATCCCAGTCTCGATTCGTGCCAACCCAACAGACACTTTCGGAGATACCCGTAGTGTACCTTTATAGCCACCCAGTTACGTTGTGACGTTTGGCACACCCAAAGCACTCCTACGGTATCCGGGAGTTGCACAATCTCATGGTCTAAGGAAATGATACTTGACATTAGAAAAGCTTTAGCATACAAACTACATGATCTTGTGCTAGGCTTAGGATTGGGTCTTTGTCCATCACATCATTCTCCTAATGATGTGATCCCGTTATCAATGACATCCAATGTCCATGGTTAGGAAACCGTAACCATCTATTGATTAACGAGCTAGTCAACTAGAGGCTTACTAGGGACATGGTGTATCCACACATGTATCTGAGTTTCCTATCAATACAATTCTAGCATGGATAATAAACGATTATCATGAACAAGGAAATATAATAATAATCAATTTATTATTGCCTCTAGGGCATATTTCCAACAGTCTCCCACTTGCACTAGAGTCAATAATCCAGTTCACATCGCTATGTGACTAACACTCAAGGTCACATCCCCATGTGACTAACACCCAAAGAGTTTACTAGAGTCAATAATCTAGTTCACATTACCATGTGATTAACACTCGATGAGTTCTGGGTTTGATCATGTTATGCTTGTGAGAGATGTTATAGTCAACGGGTCTAAATCTTTCAGATCCGTATGTACTTCGCAAATTTCTATGTCATGTTGTAGATGCAACTACTACGCTACATTTGGAGCTATTCCAAATAACTGTTCTACTATACAAATCCAGTTTACTACTCAGAATAATCTGGATTAGTGTCAAAGTTTGCATCGGCGTAACCCTTTACGACGAACTCTTTTACCACCTCCATAATCGAGAAAATTCCTTAGTCCACTAGTTACTAAGGATAACTTTGACCGCTGTCTTGTGATCCATTCTTGGATCACTCTTGTACCCCTTGACTAACTCATGGCAAGGCACATTTCAGGTGCGGTACATAGCATGGCATACCGTATAGAGCCTATGACAAAAGCATAGGGGACGACCTTCGTCCTTCCTCTTTCTTCTGCCGTGGTCGATCTTTAAGTCTTAACTTCACACCTTACAACTCAGGCAAGAACTCCTTCTTTGACTGGTCCATCTTGAACACCTTCAAGATCATGTCAAGGTATGTGCTCATTTGAAAGTACCATTAAGAATTTTGATCTATCCTTATAGATCTTGATGCTCAATGTTCAAGTAGCTTAATCCAGGCTTTCCATTGAAAAATACTTTCCAAATAACCCTATATGCTTTCCAGAAATTCTACGTCATTTCTGATCAACAATATGTCGACATATATTTATCAGAAATTCTATAGTGCTCCCACTCACTTCTTTGGAAATACAAGTTTCTCATAAACTTTGTATACACCCAAAACTTTGATCATCTTATCAAAGCATACATTCCAACTCCAAGATGCTTACTCCAGTCCTTAGAAGGATTGCTGGAGCTTTGCATACTTATTAGCATCTTTCAGGATTAACAAAACCTTCCAGTTGTATCACATACAACCTTTCCTCAAAAATCGTCGAGGAAACAATGGTTTTTGGCATCCTATCTGCGAGATTTCACAAATAATGCAGTAATTGCTAATATAATTCCAACAGACTCTTAGCATCGCTACGAGTGAGAAAGTCTCATCGTAGTCAACTCCTTGAACTTGTCGGAAAACATCTTAACGACAAGTTGAGCTTTCTTAATGGTGATACCTACCATCATTGTCCGTCTTCCTTTTAAAATCCATCTGTACTCAATAGCATTACGACCATCGAG